ACCTTACGGATAAAAATGTTATCAGTTAAGTTGTAATGAAAACTGATTATTCGTAGGGAACAATATAAATGACGTGGAGCCACGTGATTTATATAGTAACCTAACGAATAATCATCCACAACATAATCAATAACAAGTACTTGTTAATAACTTAACAGATAACCCGGGTAATAGTATACACATGGGGTAGATTTCACAAAATCTCTCTTTTGTTAATATTTTGTAAAACTAAAAATTTTTAAATATTAATTAAATGTAACACATGCTGAAGTAAACATTATAAATTAATTTTTTTTGGGCAACTTATTTAACAATTACTGAATTATCTCATCGATTCAAAAAAAATATGGGTGGCGGATTATTAAATATTAAAATTAGAAATTCATCAAATCCTGATAATTATGAACCGGAAACAAGAAAATTAAGTGTTCCCTCAAATATCAAATGGAATGATTTAGAAAAAGAGGTTAAACATTTAAATCATTTAAATCATTTTATATTAATTCTACTATATACTCAATATATATTTATATATCTTTATATGAATTATTATTAAATACTAATTGTATCCGTTTAATTTTAATTCAATAACAATTATATTTAATGAAAGATTCGAGCATTATTTTCCGAAATAAATTCAAATGATATAATTCAATTAAAATATCGTGATTTCGAAGGCGATATAATTCATATTTCAACTGATGGAGAACTTTCAAGTATATTATGTACGTTAAATGAAGAAGAATCAATGGTGAAATTTGATTTGGTTATTAAATCAAAACCCTTAGAATCATTAAAGGTAATAGAATGAATCTCTGAACCTCTGAATCTCTGAATCTCTGAATCTCACGAAATTTCCGTAATATATAGTTTGAAATAGATGACGAATTTGTTGATATCACTAAAAATATTTTGCAACAATGGCTTAGTGAAAACTTGCCAAATCTTATTGATAAAGTAACTCGAGAAGTTGTAAACTGTAATTACAGAATTATACTTTTTATAAAAACGTTTACTTATAATTTAAATAATAATTTAAATAATAATTTAAATAATAATTTAAATAATAATTTAAATAATAATTTAAATAATAAT